CTGCATCATCGGCCAAGCCGAGTTTTAGTAGTTGCCCTGTATTTAGGGGAATCACGTGTGCCAGAGGTTCTGAATTCATACAATCCCGTGACGCAGTCCGTCCGAGCCGATGTTTTTTTCCCTTTGCATGTAAGGGAAAGCCAAAACGAGTTAAAGCATAGTGAAGCCAGTACAAGGCCATGTGTTTAGCTGTAACGCATCAACTATTCACGCTGTTGACGATCTGACTGCTTTATGTTTAGCATCAAAACACGTAATCCCATCAGCAAGCCTAGCGCGTCGCTATCTGGATTCTGTCTACGTATGGTTCTAGGTTCTTTTCTTCTGATACCCGATCTGGTCGCAAAGATCTCTTGCCGGCACATGTCCGCCGAAAAAAAGGATTTCGTCTGTGACCGTCTCACATAGCTTTTCTGCTATCGAGCTTACCATCAGGACAAGTACTTGTCTTTTTCCGGTTTTTTCTTTTTTTTTAGTCGGCGTCTTGTGCTTGATAACCATATCCACCGTATATTTCGTCCAGACGAACTATATCTGTGTTTCAGTACAATGCTTATACAGATATGAAGACAACCGGATTTTTTTTTTTCCTTTTTGTCACATTTATTATTACATCTACACAGAGTTCAGGGATCACTTCCCGAACGGGCGTGACATATAGCTATGCTTATAGCCAGCTGGCTCGATGCCGCCGCCCATCGACGCGCCAGCACTATAAATAGGTTTGTCTCCGTACTCTTCATCTGGCAAAATGTGCATATATGAACCGACTGCCTGAAAAACGATGCATACCGCTATTTATTGCTTATGTAACAGTAGCGATGCATAGCAAAAATGCATAAAAACAAATTAGAACCAAATCATGTGTGCATGTGCTTGGAAACTGCAACAGCTTTTTGATTTCAAAACGCGGGATGAGGGAGGGTGAATAGCAAAGACTTCCTTTCGTGGAACAGATCACAGACCTAAAATCAAATTTCAAACTTTCCCGCAGTCAGATCTTTGAACTGAATTCAAATTTATGCTTTTGTTAGAATT